TGGACGTCACCAGGGCCATCTCTGTGGGCCTGGTGCTGGGTGCCTTCATCCTCTTTGCCATCGTGGGCAACATCCTGGTCATCCTGTCAGTGGCCTGCAATCGGCACCTGCGGACGCCCACCAACTACTTCATTGTCAACCTGGCCATTGCTGACCTGCTGTTCAGTTTCACAGTCCTGCCCTTCTCCGCTACCCTGGAAGTGCTTGGCTACTGGGTTCTGGGACGCATCTTCTGTGACATCTGGGCAGCGGTGGATGTCCTGTGCTGCACGGCCTCCATCCTGAGCCTATGTGCTATCTCCATTGATCGCTACATTGGGGTGCGCTACTCTCTGCAGTACCCTACTCTAGTCACCCGCAGGAAGGCCATCTTGGCACTCCTCAGTGTATGGGTTTTGTCCACGGTCATCTCCATCGGGCCTCTCCTAGGCTGGAAAGAACCTGCTCCCAACGACGACAAGGAATGTGGAGTCACAGAAGAACCCTTCTATGCCCTCTTTTCCTCCCTGGGCTCCTTCTACATCCCACTCGCGGTCATTCTGGTCATGTACTGCCGGGTCATCATTGTGGCCAAGAGGACCACCAAGAACCTGGAGGCTGGAGTCATGAAGGAGATGTCCAACTCCAAGGAGCTGACCCTGAGGATCCACTCCAAGAACTTTCATGAGGACACCCTCAGCAGTACCAAGGCCAAGGGCCACAACCCCAGGAGTTCCATAGCTGTCAAACTTCATAAGTTCTCCAGGGAAAAGAAAGCAGCCAAAACCTTGGGCATTGTAGTCGGAATGTTCATCTTGTGTTGGCTCCCCTTCTTCATCGCTCTCCCACTTGGTAAGTAGGGGACTGGCAGAAGGGAGAAAGACCTTTTCCTTGGGTTTCCTAATGGTCTCACCCTAAAGTTTTTGTGTGGGTTTGGTTATTTTCAATCACATCAATGTGTGTTTGGAGACTGGATAATACTGTTTGTTCTGCAAAGGCTTTGCAGATAGGGGGATTGGCTAAGAACCAACTCAGGTGTTGGTGAAAAAAAGCTAAGGTACTAGGCACTTGAAATAGAAGCATGGGAGGAGAATCTGGGATGTAGAATGACTCACTCACTGGCCTCAGTTTAATAATTAAAAAGGACACTGGGCTCCAACATCACACCAGTGTTATTTCGGTAGTAACGATGTGTCTGAGAAGGCAGCGTCACTAACGCAGCATACCAAATAGTTTGTAGTTACTGCAGACGCGGCATTGGAGAAGCAGGGAGGCGGCTCCTACAGAGAGAGGCAGTGTTCATTCAATATTTGCAGGGACCACGTTTCTCAGCCATGCAGTGGCTGCAGCTTCCTCCCCCCTCCTCTCTCACGGCTGGCTCTCCTCTTTCTGCACTGTGTCATCCTTACCAGATATCATAGCATTTTACAGCCACGTAGCTTTCAGGGGCCTTTAAGTTTCTGAAGCTTGGGGTTTCAAAGAGAAACATTCTCAATTTTCACCCCAAAATGCTCCCAACTCTGGTGATTTATGATATATTCAGAATTTAATTATAGCTGACCCTCACCTTTGGCTATAAGATGCCAAAACTAAGCAAGATAGAATTCAGTGCCTTCTGCCCCATCTACAAAAATGTGTCCATCATTTGGGGCTTGGTGACCCTAGTAAAATTGTTCAAAAGGCTGACTGCTTCCTGCTAGGGAAGAATACCAAGGTCTAGCTGAAATAACAGAGAGGAGATGCAGTGACATGCTATTCACAAGGCTTAGGAGATCCTTGTCCCTTTTCTGGTGCATTGATCTGCTTTGATTTCTTCTCCTATCCCTGATGAGAACTGGAGGAAAATGAATGGAAGGAAGTGCTCAGGGCATGTACTAGAAGAGGGGACAGCTACTGCATATACTACAGACCTCCTACAGTCATGCCGCAGGGTCTCAGGGGCGACCAAACCCCTCCAGCAGCTATGACTCCAGAGTCACGCTGCTTCTGGGAGAAAAAAGTGAATGAAAAGAAAGTAAATGGTTACCAAGAGTTTCTTTCTTTTTATATAAGAAAAAATGATCTATGTAACACTGTCTCTGTAATCTTTTCTAAGGAAGTCTGGCAGAATAATTCTGTTCAGAAGTATTTCTCAATGGTGTTAAATACAAAGAGCTTGAAATTCTGCCCCAGGAGTGATTACACCCCACTGTAGAGGAGAATGGTTCTCCTTCTCAAGGTCTTGGGACCTTTGGCAGGCTTGTTTGGTTAACAATGAATTAGCTTGCATTGTGTTGGACCATCACTAAGATCACAGTTCTGTGTAGGAGTGATTTAGTCTCTTACTGGCCATATGACCTTAGAGTAATCACTACTGCTCCTATATGAGCTTCAGTTTCTTCATCTACAAAATGGGACTAATTAGTCTTTGCTTCAAGGGTTTGTGTTGATGTAAGGAAAAGACAAGATAGAATCTGAACCTCAGCAAGTATTTAATTCAAGTTAGATGTCAGTTCTAAACCAAGCCCCAGTCGCTCTATTGGAGACAATGGTGGGTTTCCCCTATACACTTTTGCCAATGCAGCACCTTTACTTCCTCCCAGATCTACCCACCAACATACAGAAGCTATGACCAGGGCATGTTTAAGAAGAAAAATCAAAAAAATCAAAAAAAGAAGAAAAATCATCCAATAGGACTCATAAATGATCACCAGTGCAATCCTTGGCTCTGAGCTTCATGGGGAACAGGAGCTTTCAACAAGTTGACATGAAAAGAATAGGCTCAGGTGGTACAGGCTACAGAGTTCTGCTTTGATCTTGGCCATCACTTAGCTTTGTGCCCCTGGACTTGTTGCTTTGCCTCTCTGTCTGGAGAACAAGATGATTGAATGAGACCAAGGGAAAGTATATTGAGTATAATGATCACCCAAGGAACTCCATAGAGTAGACCCTTGGGTTCAACCTACTGATGCCTAGATTTAGTAAATCAAATGGATCTAGAATCTGCATGTTTAACAAGACCCCAGCAGGTTCTGAAAAGGTGGATCACAGTTGAGATTTTGAGAATCATTGGTTAGAGCATCTCTTAGCCCTCTTTAGAGCCCAGCATTCTTAAATGCTGCAAGTTTGGACCTTCCCCAGCCATCCAGTGGTGTGAGATGATATGGCTTCTCTCTGTATCCTATATCTGCCTTCAGTCTCTTCATTTGCTTTCTGCTCATGCCTGTGTTTGGGGTCCTTAGTACCCATGTAATAGTAGTAAAAGGTCATCCACTCCCCCAGACTGTGTTGCCTTCGGAGCTTGTCCTCTCCTGTCAATGAAAACTTACTATCCATGCCATGGTCATCTTGGAACCCTCCAATGTATTGTCACTGAGTGGGTCCAATGAGCATTCTTCATCCATGGAAACCCAACAGGTGAGGTCATCCTTGTAGATGAGCTGTGGGTTTGTAATGGCTGCAAAAATGTAGTCAAGAATTCAAACAGAAGGTACATGACCAATGCTTGCTCTCTTAATAATTTAAGGACATCACAGAAAGATGGATCTGTAGGTTCCTACTTCCTCCAGGTAGAACAACACCCAGTGAGAAGTAGCATGTTGGGCAATAGAAGCACTTTTTGGAATCTGAAGAAGGTTCTAAATCCTAAATTTTACATCAAGGACATTTTCCTCAGAGAAGGCAAAAGCAGACGTGAGAAAGGCTATGAGTGACATGCAGGGAAGTACAGGTAGGAGTAATTTCCAATCCATCTAGACTTGCAGGTGCCTGGATGGCATGAGATTTCCATAGCTGTGTTTGTTTTCTCCATAGGAGAGAAGGGTTGGGATTCCTTCTAGAAGGAGAGAAAACAGACATAACCCTACAGGACCCTGCTCTAAGGCCCCATTTGTTTTTCTTCCTCCCTTATTTTTATTTTTGGGAGCAGTGTTAGGCCACCTGCAGAGAAGTCTCCTGTGGAGCCCTCCCCACCTGCACCACTGCACTCATCTCTCCCCACCCTTCCCCTGTTGCCTCAGACCAAGTAGAATCAGGGACCAATGCTCACTTATTCAGGGTCAGAGATGCACTTCATCAAACAAGGACCTCTTTCTTTGGCCCCGGAATTGGCCCAGAGACTGTCAGAGAATCTGGACTAGAATATAGTAGCTTTTCTATCCCATGGACCAGGCATGATGTCCAAGAGAACCTCCAGCTGCATGGTATGACAATGAAGACCAACTCCCACCAGAGGGGAGAGAAACTGCTCAAAGTCTGAGGAAGTGGCAGGTCTCCTGAGGGAGTGTACATTTCAATATGAGATGTGAGGATGGGTGGTAGGAAGCACCAGGCAGCCAACAAGCGGCTGGGTCTACTGGGCTGTTTAGAAAACACTGGAAACTTGCCTTGCTCCAAATCTTTCTTCCGCCTTTTAAAATGCTGAAAGGCACCAGGAAGCCATTATTGAACTAACTGCTCTCCCCTCCAAATAAATGAAGGTCAATTTCAAAGAAACAGTTGTGCTCCATATAGTACTGGAACCAAACAGCGATCCCTCCATTGATTTGTCTCTCTTCTCATTCAAATGAGCTCCGTGGAATTTGTGAACTATGAGCACAAGTGAGAATGAAGGTCTCAGACATAACCTAGAACAGAGTCACCCCCCCACAAACATGTGTGTGAATCCCCAAATCAGCTTTTGAGAGTCCCTTGAGGAAAGCAACTGCTTTCAGAATTCTGTGAGAAGGAAATTTTTTATAAACAGGAAATCAATCCTCCCTAGAAGAGGGAAATATTACTGAGGAAATACATTTGGCCACTTTTATTTTATTTTTTATTTTTTATTTTTATTTATTTTTTCTTTTCCATTCATTTATTTAGCTCATAAATAAAGTCATGCACAATTATGATACAGAATACAGTATGTTCACAATAGCATAGCTAAATTAAACCAATTAACATGTTATATCACACATATTCATCATTTTTATTTTGAGAACACCTAAAGTATACTATCTCACAACTTTTAAAATATAGTATATTGGTATCAACCATATTTATCATGCTCTCAGTAGACCTCAAGACTTCAGAGAGTCCATGATATTTGGCCATTTTTAAAAATAGCTAATCAAAGACTTCCTAAAGTGCCTACTATGTCCTTGACTCTGTTCTAGAAGCTGGGTTGTTGAACCAAAACTCAATAGGGTCCCTACCTGCCTAGTCAACATGTGGTTATTGAATACATACCTTGTAGAGACATTCTACTGGGATTCCTATGGCATTATCACATTAACCCTCACAGAGATGCCCTGTAGAGTAACTGCTACCTCTTCATGGATGAATATATCAAAGCTCAACACAGTTAGAGTCTTTTCCAGGGTCACACAGCATGTCAGTGTTAAAGGCCAAGGACTTGAGTCCCGCTCTATGACAACAGGCCACTACCTGTCTCACTGCACCTGGCCTTTCTGTCCACTGATAGCAACCTGTGCTATCATAGTAAATGTTCTCCAGGAAACTGCAAATCACCCTGTCTCCACCCTGTCAGAAGATAGGAGGGACACTGTCGTAAAATCCTGCTATCCCTAAAGTGGGGGGCACCAACTAATAAAGGATCAGGGCATGCCATCATGTTCAAACTTAAAGCTAGTTTTTCTCCAAACCTCCTGCAATGTGGGTGCTAAGCATTCTTAGGAACCAGGCTCTTGTCAGTCAGTCAGATAAGCTGAAGAAAAGTGGAGGGACTTGCCTTTCCCCTAGGAATGTGGGTCATGTCTTTAATCATGTATTCATTCACTGAGTTAATATGAATTTACCAAATGGGTGCTGGGTCCAGGAATCTTCCTAGAGAAACTATGGTAAGCAAAATAATTAAGTGCCATAGAACTTACTTTACTAGTGA